AAAAAAAAAAAAAAAAAAAAAAACAACTTACTGACCGGTTGAACCAACCGGTTTTTCCCCGGTTTTCACCGGTTCGACCGGTCATTGACTGGTTTTTGACCGGTTTGACTGATAGACGGTTTCTTCCATAAAACCGGACCGGTTAACTGGCCGGTTCCCGGTTGGACCGGTCTGACCGGCCGGTCCGGTCCAGTTTTGACAAAATTGGTAAAATCCCTCAGTTTTGGACTCATCCTCCCGAAAAAGTAGGATCACCATCTGCTTCCAAGTATTTCTAAGAAGCATTTCTAATCTGAATGCCTTGATCACAACCAAGGTTGTCAAAACCGGACCGATCGTCCGGTCAAACTACTGGTTTAATGGTTCACTGGTCCGACCAATGGTTGAACCGGTCAAGCTACTGGTTCAATGGTTCACTGGTCCGACCAATGGTTGAACCGGTTGGACCGTAATTTAATTTATTGATATTTTTAAATATTTAATATTTCATAAATATAGTTAACTTAATTTTTAAGTAATCTAACTTAATGATTTTTTAAAATATATATTATATAAATAATAGTTTAACTTAATAGTCATATAACTTAAAAGTTAATTTAATTTATTGATTTTGTAAAATATATAATATTCTATAAATATTAAATAATAATTAACCTAATATATATACTAACCGCGAGAGCATGCCCAGGTGTTATATACTATGAAAAAACAAAATTTCCTCCTACACGGCTTTAACAGTTGGAGTTCTTAATTTCTTATACTACCTGCTTGTCCCACATTGGATGACTTAAAAAGTTGAAAGGTAAGTTGCTGTATAAATATGTTAAGAGTGTCAAGATTTCAAAAAAAAAAAAACAACTTACTGACCGGTTGCACCAACTGGTTTTTCCCCGGTTTTATCCAGTTTTCACCGGTTCGACCGGTCATTAACTGGTTTTTGACCGGTTTGACTGACAGACGGTTTCTTCCATAAAACCGGACCGGTTAACTGGCCGGTTCCCAGTTGGACCGGTCGGACCGGCCGGTCCGGTCCGATTTTGACAACATTTATCACAACATTACTATCTCAATTTTCGTAAAAGATATTACATAAATCATTAAAAAAAATAAAAAATTGATCAATGTCTATTTTGATTTTTAAGGGGAGGGGTGGGTTTATTTTTTATTTTACTTTTTTTTTACGTTTTTACTTATTGCAAATTAATTATAGAGTAAATTATAATTTTTCTGTATGTTTTACTACTTTAACTTATTCGTTCTCTTCGAATTGCGTTTTTTATTTTAGTCACGTATGTTTGAAAATATTACACAAAAGTCTTTTTTGTTTCGGTACAACACAAAGGTCCTTTAAATACATAAAGGACAAAATTAGAACACTTTTTTTGCAAAATATAAATGACTTTTTTATTGCGAAAAGGACCTTTTTGCAACATTTTTTCAAACATACGGGCGAAAATAAAAAACACAATTCGAAGAGAAAAAAAAAAATCAAAGTAGTGAAACATATAAGACTAAAATTGTAATTTACTCTTTCTTAATTATATAGTGCCATCAATGAGAACATAATCAAATATTTCATTGAATTTGTACATTAATTTATAAGGTGATTCGATATTAGAATAAATCCAATCTTGATGAGAATTATCCCATCCTCATAACCAATCATAAACCTCCAATTATATATCACACTAACATCTCACTTAATAAGCTGCTCTCAACTTTAGCTATTCCCACTTTATAAAACCAAAAA